ATCTCACCGGCTCAAAGGTTGACTCAGCCTTCCATCCTTCCGAGGTGGGTAAAATGAGGACCCGGATTGTTGTTGGGGAAAATATGCTGACTCTGTAAACCGCTTAGAGAGGGCTGAAAGCCCTATGAAGCGGTATATAAGTCTAACTGCTATTGCTATTGCTATACCTAGGACGCTGGCAGCAACCCGTATCAACCATTAGCACCAGTCACTGGTATTTATGATACATTTTTGAATGTTCAGTTGGCTAAGTTTCATGTTTAATGAATAAAGTATAATAATAATGCATAGAGTTTATTGATATTGCTGTACCAGGAGATGCCAGAGTTGAAGAAAAAGAACTAGGGAAAAAAACCCACAAAATGTTACTACCTGGCCATCAAAACTACAAGGCCTATGGATGAAACATGTAACAGTGATACCATTGTCATTGGGGCACTTAATACCATGTTTCAAAACACAACAAGAAATTGCAGCTTCCTGCAATAACACCAGCGGAACTGCAAAAAACTGCGCTACTAGGAACATCGTATATTTTAAGAAGGTACCTGGTTGATACCTAGGAAGTTGGCAGCAAACTGTATCAAGCATTAGCACCAGCCAATGGTCTTTGCGGCACATCTTTAAATGTTCACTTGATGGAGTTTCATGCTTAATGAATAAAAGATACAACAATAAAAACAACAAGTTTCTTTCAATATGTAAAGTACAAGAAGAAAATCAAGGAAATGATAGTTTCATTAATGGGAGAAGATGTTGAATTACTTCTTTGCATCTGTTTTTACACAAAAGGAAGACAATAAGTGCTGTTAGTACCACTTTACACAACACTGGTGAGCCCACACTTGGAATACTGCATTCCGTTCTGGTCACCATGGAACAAAAACAGATGCTGAGAGCCCAGAAAGTGTAAAGAGAAGAGCAACAGAGATTATAGGGCCTGGAGCTGAGTTATATGATAAACAGTTGAGGAAGCTTGGTATGTCTAGCCTCATGATGGCAAACCTATGGCACGTATTCCACAGGTGGCATGTAGAGCCCTGTCTGTGGGCATGTGAGCCATCACCCCAGCTGAGCTCCGCACATACGCATGCACCTCCCGCCAGTCAGTTGGTTTTGGGGTCTCTGCCAGGCATGCGCAGAGAGAGCATGCAGAGGGCGTCACACACGCATATGCAGGAGATAGGGGGAGTGCAGGGTGGGGGTCACGTGTGCATGCACGGGGAGGGTCACATGGGGGTGTCATGTTTGCATTGCATTATGGGTGCATGTGCGTACGCACTTTCAGCACGCACCAATGAAAATATTAGCCATCACTGGTCTAGCCTATCAAAGAGACGAAGTAGTGGGGACATCATAGCTGCATTCTAGTACTTGAGGGGTTGTCATAAAGAAGAGGGGATTGATTTGTTTTCTAGGGAACCAGAGGGCAGGACAAGAAGTAATGGGTGGAAGGCTTATTAAAGAGAGAACTAACCTCGAAATAAGGACAAATTCTTTTGACTGTGAGAGGGATGGAATAAGTTGCCTCTTGGGAGCACTAGAGGTATTCACGAATAGATTGGTTAGCCATTTGGATGGGATAGTGTAAAGCTGCTGCCTTAAGCAGAGGGCTGGGAGACCTTTGAGTCTTGTGATCTTATGTATTTTCTATAATAAATATGGGAACACACACAGACTTGGAAAAAATATGTCTCCTAAGTTGAATTCAAGCCTTAGAAAGAGGTCTCTGACATATTTCTTAGGAAAAACATCAAAATGGTTTGCTACTGCCTTTTCCTGGAATTTTTCTTTTAATAATCACACTTCCTTTACAATTATTTTTGAATGTTAGAAGTTCTGGGAATATTAATCTTTGTTTGTTTTTGATAATGGACATGAACATGGAGCGCTAGATATTCATTATTGTCACTTCTATTGATCTATTCAAATAAAGGTTTCATATTGGAGATACACAAGAGGTCCAGATGAAGAGCAACAGAGCAGGAACAATTTATGGGAATTGACCAAAAGGACTAGCACAATTTCATTGGATTCATGATCTCTTGCCAATTTCCTTTCAAAAGAGATTTGAGAAGAAGAAAAAGTTATTGTGTCCTCAGTGATAATATGCAGAATCCCTTAGTGATGTTCATAAGCTATACATAATTACAAGACATCTTCAGAGAATATATATTCTGTCATGAGAATTGAGATGTTCTTAGTGTTGATGAACTTACTGAGCTCCTTCTAAAGCAATTTATTTTTTTTTTACTAGGAAAACGGATCTCCCATGATACACCTGCAAATTCTTGAATAGTTATACAACACCTGGCTTTCCTAGAAAGCAATTGGATCATCTTCCACCTTGCTGAGCACTTGTAAAAGCTGTTAACATGCTTCACTCTTTCTTAACAGATGTGGAAGATCTTGGAAAGGAAGCAAAGTCAAGTTCTCCTCTGCCATTGGAGAAAGACTGCAGCTCTGGAAATCCCTAGTCATCCAAGAAATAACCAAGAACTTTGCTTAGCTTCCTAGTCCAAAGAAGAGAATGATGATCTGATGAGATCACTTTTGTTTTTCCAGAAAAAGAATGTATATTAGTATCGTTTGGTTTAATATAGGTATGTTCTAACATGCTCTAACATCTTTATTCAAATTCAGAATAAACATTGCTGATGCATTTTGAGTATTTCTATGATGTTTGCTTTTGGAAAGATTCTCCCCTGAGCTTCCCTGAAAGGACATCTCTGTGTAATCTGACAAAAAAACCATAGAACATAGAATAGAACAGAATAACAGTGTTGGAAGGGACCTTGGAGGTTTTGTAGTCCAACCCCCTGCTTAGGCAGGAAACCCTACATCACTTCAGACAAATGGATATCCAACATCTTCTTAAAAACGTCTGGAGGCAAGTTGTTCCACTGATTAATTGTTCTAGCTGTCAGGAAATTTATTTAGTTCTAAGTTGCTTCTCTCCTTGATTAATTTCCACCCATTGCTTCTTGTTCTACCCTCAGGTGCCTTGGAAAATAGTTTGACTCCCTCTTCTTTGTGGCAACCCCTGAGATATTGGAACAGTGCTATCATGTCTTCTCTAGTCCTTCTTTCTCTTAAAATAGACATACCCAGTTCTTGCCACCGTTCTTCATATGTTTTAGCCTCCAGTCCCCTAATCATCTTTGTTGCTCTTCTCTGCACTCTTTGTAGAGTCTCCACATCTTTTTTGCATTGTGGCAACCAAAACTGAATGCAGTATTCCAAGTGTGGCCTTACCCGTGAGCCTAAAACCAATTTCATTGTATTTATTTTTTGTACGATGACAATAAAGGCATAAAAAAATGGTATTAACACGTGATCTTGATTCTATCCCTCTGTTTATGCAGCCTAGAATTGGCCTTTTTGGCAGCGGCTGCACACTGCTGGCTCATATTTAAAAGTATTTTAAATATTTATATTTAATTAAAAGAAATTATTTATTTTATATTCTCATGTTTAAAAGAATATTAAAACAATAATAGAGTTGGAAGGGACCTTGGAGGTATTCTACTCCAACCTCCTGCCCAAGCAGGAGACCCTATCCCATTTCAGACAAATGGTTGTCTAGTCTCTTCTTAAAAGACTCCAGTGGTGGAGCTTGAATCTACTCGATAACATTTGTTTTCCTTGAAAAATAATCTATGTAACTAGCAAAAAATAAACTTGATATTGGCAAGATCTAACTTATTTCCTAAATTCAAATAATAATCAATTATGCAATAGAGGTATTTTATTTTATTTCCTTTTGAAAGACTCGAAAGAGACATTTCATTTAGCAAGCATTTTTGTTCTTAACCTGTTACTGAAAATGTAAGATTATTATTTAAGCAATGTTGAAATAGATGCATTTAAGAAATTTTCGGTCATAGTTCTTTATTTTGATTTCCACTCATAAGTAGCAAACCAAGAATAGAATTGTGTTATATATGTTTCCCAGCATGAGAAAATGTTTGCAATTTCAGAAGTTAGGGCAATTTTTGCACATGTACCAAGTGGTAACAAATTCCTAGGAGTTTTTTTTTAAAGTTTGCATCACTACCAAATGAATCATGGAATAAATTAGTACTAATTAATGACAAAATGTAAAAATTTAGATGGACTTTTTAAGTGAAAAGGCAAAGGTTGCAATGTATTAATATTATTTCAGTTGGCTTGACAGTCCTGCAGTAACTGAAGAGAACAAGTTGACTTGAGTTTGAATGATGATAGATGTGAAAGTACATTCTGTCAACAAAGAAAAACTCACAATAACCTATATATTGCAAAAATGAAAACCCTACCAAACTTCATTCAAAATAGGTTTTTTTAGGTTTTTCCTTTTTAAACCGACATCTAAAGGAAATTGTCTTGTCTTAGCTAAAAGAAAACCGATATAAAAATAGAGAAGCAGGAATATTTTTCTACTTGATAGTAATTTTGTGGTTTCATGCATCAAAACACACCCATTATAAAATTCCTGGAATCATTAATAGGTTAAGAGAGTTGGAAGGGACCCTATATATCATCTGGTCCAACCAACCTACTCAAGCAGGACACCTTACACAATTTCTGAAAAATGGCAGTCCAATCGCTTCTTGAAAGCGGTTTGAAGCTGCCACAACTTCAACTGAAGGCCAGCTGTTCCATTGGTTGATTGCTCTCACTGTCAGAGAAATTTATCCTTATTTCCAGGTTGAATCTCTTCTTGGTCAGTTTCCATCTGTTATTCCTTATCAGGCCTTCAGATGCTTTGGAAAATAGCTTAACCTCCTCCTCTCTGTGGAAGCCCCTCAAATATTGGAACACTGATATCATGTCTCCTCTTCACTTGAAGAGCCTTGTGCAGTTCCTGTAACTGTTCTTCATACGCTTTAGTCTTTAGTTTCATTACACTGGTATGAAAAGATAGTTGTTAGTTGCCAACAACAGTTTTTTCTACATTTAACAATGGGAGTTGATCTAAAGATCCCTCATTCTTTTTCCTTCTCCTCAGACAGGAGGCCATGACTGAAGCTAAGAACTTCACCTCTGTCAAGGAATTCATCTTGCTGGGACTCACCAGCCAGAGAAAAATCCAACTTCTCCTCTTTGGGGTCATTCTCATCATCTACTTACTTACAGTTTTGGGGAACCTGCTAATCATCGTATTGGTGCAGGCAGATGTAAAACTCCAGACACCCATGTATTATTTTCTTTCCCAACTTGCAGGGGTAGATATCTGCTATGTCACCAGCACCATGCCTCTCATGTTGACTCAGCTCCTGGCTGAAGATGGAGCCATTTCTTTAGCATTCTGCATGATCCAGATATACATTGCAGTGGCCTTAGGGGGTGTTGAGATTCTCCTGTTTGGGGTCATGGCCTACGACCGCTACCTGGCCATCTGCCGTCCTTTACTTTACCCTGTTCTCATGGACAAGAGATGCCAGTTGCAGTGCAGTTCAACATGCTGGATATCGGCTCCTTTGGTCTGCGTGATTTACATTGTCTGCCTTCTTTGCCAAAACTATTGTGGCCCCAATCAGATCAATAACATCATATGTGAGATGCCCATGGTGTTGAGACTTGCTTGTAGCGATACAAGTATTATTGAGGACTTCATTTTTGGTATAGGCTCATTTGTCCTTCTGGGTCCCCTTACTTTTATATTGACCTCCTATGGATTTATTCTTCATTCTGTCTTACAAATGAAATCCAGTGGCCGACTTAAGGCTTTCTCTACCTGTGGTTCCCATCTTATTGTGATCTCCATGTTTTATGGACCTTTGCTCTGGGTCTACATAATTCCGAAGACTGACACAGCTGCTGATCACGATAAACAGATTGCAATCTTCTACGTTTTGATCACACCTCTGCTCAATTCTGTCATTTACACTTTGCGGAACAAGGACTTTCATAGGGCAGTAGCCAAGATCTTGTGAAGAAGGGCTCTTGAAGAAAAGTCACAATAAAAGTATTGTCATGGGTAACCAATATTTCTGTTATAAAATACCACTAGCCTAACAGGGGTCTAACTGTGACTGATTATATGAGCATTGTTTGTAAATATCTAAAAGTCTTTGCTTCTTTAGTTAGAACAATTAATCAGTGGTACAGCTGAATAATTTTCAATGAACACAACAATTTGTATCATCATGATGCTCATTTTAAATTATTAATCCATCCTGGATTAATTCTACAAATGTTCTTCTGAGCCCGGCAGCTTCATTTCCAGAGAAGGAAGGAAGAATGTAAGGAAACAAGAGTAAAAAGAGTAATTGTTTTAAAAAAACAAACAATTTTATTAAGGATTTTTTCAGAAAGTAAGCACAATTCAAATGAAAGAAAAAATAAAGAGGAAAAAAGAAAAGTGGTAAATAAATAGAAAAGAAATAAAAGAAAAAAGACAAAGAAAGAAAAATGGAAAATATATATAAAGAAGTGGTTTAGGATCTTCTTTATTGTAATTATAAACATGTTTAAATTGTATCCTCTTTCTCTAATATTAGACCATAGTTCCTTTTTTTCTGATAATCAAACTCAAATAAATTTCCATTGACAGAAAAAGATCAATAAAGGAATTCCAGTTATTGAGAAAAAAGGAATATTTTTTCAGTAGAACAGCTGTCTGTTGCAGAATGGCATTTAGGAATATTGTAAGTATTAGAATTTTCACCCAATATTTAGCTGTAATGAAATGGTAATTATGGAAGTGCAGCAGAATACAAATAGAGATTACTACATTGATGGACAACTGGGAAATTATAGAGAGTTAAAAAAAAAAACCACTGATGGATGAGAAGCAATGGATCTATCTTTCAACACTTCTATGGACATCATAACGTACACAATCCTCCCATACATTAGACCAGGACCTAAACATTGCTACACAACTAACAAAAAAGCTTGGATATATCAAAGAGGGAAGGAAATATTCTTTCAACTCACTACTTCCGTGCCTCCCACACAATCACAGAAATTTTTTAACATGAAGCTGAGTTTTGGGCAAAAAACAGATTAGGAATCTTATTCATGTATTCTGAACTAAAATAAAAAAAACATCTAATTTCTCAATAAAAAGGTTTTTTATTTCTGGAATCTAATCATGTGAAATACAGAAGTCAATATACAACTACAGCAATACAGCACGTTGCTTACAAAAATTCACCTTGTGATAAACACAGGGTCACATACCGTTTTGGACACACATATCTTGTGATTTGAATTGAAGACTTGAAGACCTGTTCGTGTCATATTTCTTAGGAAAAGCTCATTCTGTCTATAAATTTGTCTTTTTTCATGTTTAAAGTTCTGGGAATAATAATCTTTCTTCAATAAAGGAGAATATCTGTAGTTTAAGTGTCAAGACTGATTCACACTTTCACCTTCATTTTTTCTTCAGTTTGACAATAACAGGGAGGGGGCAGAAGATGGAATGTAAGGGTGGGAGAATGGTATTCAAGCATCCGTCAGCTTCCATGAGACATTGCTGTCATCTCAAGGACACACCAAGTAAATGTTCCAATGTGGCTGGCTGTTTCCCATAACAAAATGAACAGGAGTGCTTGGTGGATGTTTTGGATTGTGGGTTGCTTGTAGGGGAAAGGAGGGATTAACTATGCTCTTGAAAGTCCCTTGGACTTCAAGGTGATCAAACCAGTCAGTCCTAAAGGAGATCGATCCTGACTGCTCTTTAGAAGGCCAGATCCTGAAGTTGAAACTCAAGTACTTTGGCTGGCTAATGAGAAGGAAGGACTCACTGGAGAAGAGCCTCATGCTGGGAACAATTGAGGGCAAAAGAAGAAGGGAATGAGATGTCTGGATGGAGTCACTGAAGCAGTAAACGTGAGATGAAATGGACTCCAGGGGATGGTAGAAGACAGGAAGGCCTGGAGGAACATTGTCCATGGGGTCATGATGGGTTGGACATGATTTAATGACCAACAACAAGAACAACAAAGTATGTGTGCTTTTGCATGGGAAATCCAGAGCTGTTCCAGTGTGGTTTATTCAATAAATTTTTATATTCTTGGCAAAATAATGTCCCAGGAATTAGGGTTTCACCAACTGGACAGGGTTGAAATGAAGGGTGCTTGGTCTCTCTGAGCTTTCCTGTTTTCTTGAAGACCTTTCATTATCCAAACCAGGTAATATCATAACTCCAATAGGGAGTGTGGTTTGCCTTCTGTTTATGTTCGAGTGCAGGAGTGAGCAACTCGCAGCTCTGGAGCCGCATGTGGCTCTTTTATTCCTCTCCTTCAGATCTCTAACAGTGGTTGGCCCCACAATTAATGTGGCTTTCAGTTAGGACAGGTAGAGGAAAAAAGATGAGTCTATGACTCCATAGAGAAGACTCTGGCGGGGGGGAATCATACTTCCAGGTGACTCAAGAATTAAATGGGGGGCTTCCAGTTAGGAGCTTTGAGGCTCTTTGAGTTTTTTGAGGTTGCTGTCCCTTGTTCTAGTGGCTTGCCCTGTTAGTGTTGGAGGGTGGGTCTTAGAGAGTCTTTGGACTGCCACAACCACTATTTAGGACAAAAAGACAAAACACTGGCAGATTGGGGGCAGAGCTGACGTCGCAATGATACAACGTGTGATCTTAGAGCTCCAAGATTGCTGTTGATATCTCTGCTTCTGGACGGTCCTTTTGGACCTAAACCGTGCATAGAGATGGTGATAGAGAAGGGCACATCCTGCTGATCCCAGGGACATCATAAAGTCCCTGGTAAATCCAGGAGAAGTTCTTTTTTTCCGGCCACAGAGAAGCAGCCATTGAAGCTGTTGAAACTTGGGACAGCTCCAGAAGAGAAGAAAAGCAGGAGAGAAAGTGTGTCTAATTAGTGAGATAAATTTTATTATTAGATAAGAGAACACCCCAAAAGATCAAAAGTAAAGTTAAAATCAAACACAGAAGAATTTAAGCGGTGACATTAAGCCTGAGTCAAACCTAGTCTGTTATCTTTCTTTAATTTTTTTATTGAATTTTTACAAATGCTTTTTACTTTTTATACTGGACTGGTTTTTATTTTCTTCTTCTATTTTTCTTTTTTTTAAATACTTATTGATTAAGACTTTCTCTCTTTTTCTCTTTTCAACATTCTATTGAATTTTTTCTAAGAACTTTTCTCCTTAATTTTGGAATATAAAGAGGGGAGTAAAAGCAGAGGAAAAAAAGTAACTGCCACTTAGAGGCTTGGAGGTTTGGAAACATTGTTTTTCTTGTTTTCATTGAATATTTGATCTACATTTCAAGGTTTCTGAGCTTGTTTATTGAAAATGAAAGTGGGAAGAGCACAGACTGTGTATACAGGTGCTCCTCTGGGGTACTATCAATAGCTGGATTGGAGTGAAAAGAAAGCTTTGACTTGAAAGAATACAGTGAACTACTTTGGAATTTAATAAAAAAGCTTTGGAAGATATAGTGGCAGTGTTTATTATCTGGAGGAATGGTGCAACATGAAAAAGAAAAGGAAGTAACATTACAAATGATTATGCAAGAAATTCAAAAAATACAAATAAAAATAGAGAGGAAAATGGAAAATATTGAACAAAGAACGGAAAAAATAGTTGAAAAATTGAGAATATTTACTAAATGATGATGAAATTTGTGGGTAGAGTTCAAAAAATTGAAGAAAAAGATGAACAAAGATACAGAAATTTGGTGATATTGACAGCAGATTGAGCATGGTTGAAAAAGTCAGGAGTGGAATATTGAAATAGGAGTTTGACAGATTGGAACTTTATCCCAGACTCCAAAACAAAGAAGAAGAAGTGGGAAAAAATTAGGCAGAAATGATGAGAGAAATTTTGGCAGAAGCATCAGTGATAGCCAAAGAGAAGTTGATGGAAGGAACGGATGGAAGGTTTTGAGTCTTTATAAGATATGCAATGAAAAGTTGCCAAGAAAAGTCCATATAAGATCTACCAAGAAAGCAATTAGAACACAAATACTACAAATGCCAAGAGATATAAGATGGCACTACTTTTGGAAGGGTGCAGGATGATGTAATGAAATGTTATAATAAAAATTAATTTAAATTTTGTTAAATTTAGAATAATAGATAGATAGATTAGATATAGATATAGATATAGATATAGATATAGATATAGATATAGATATAGATATAGATATAGATATAGATATAGATAGATTTTTATGTGTGTAGGTATGCTGATCTTATTGTATTTGGGTCTTTCCCCATGTAAGATTGAGATTGTTTTGGCAACGTTTCGGCGAGGTGTCACTCACCATCCTGAGGGTGAGGATGGTGAGTGAGACCTCGCCGAAATGTTGCCAAGACAATCTCAATCTTACATGTGAATGACCCGAATACAACAAGATCAGCATATATATCGATCTCCATGCTACATGGAGATCTATCAAGGAGGAGTGGGGTCCTTGCATTTCCGATGGTTGTCTGGAATATGTCGTTGGCATCTGCTTTCTCCGCTCTCTGCCGTGGCTTCCAAGACTCTTGACAGAGTGGACGTAGTCTTGCAGTCTGCACAGCTGGTGGTTTTAGTGGTGTTATGGCTGGAAACTTGCTCCTGAAGACTCTTGCGATGTGCCCCTTGCGATCGCAGCATTGGCAGATTGCGTCCCAGAAACATCATTGCTTTCAGAGGTCTTGCTCTTCAGTCTCACAATGCACCTCGGCTGTTCTGTGTGTGCTCTTGGGGCTATTTTGCCTTTGCAATGTTTCTGTCAACTTGATCGAGGTCTCTCTGGTTTCATCTAAGGCTATTTGCAGCATGAGATTGGTTTTTACCAGCAATCTTCTTTGCAGGCCGATGTTTTGAATGTCACAAATAATTCTGTCCAACAACAGTTCATCTAAGTCTCAAAACTCGCAATATGCTGTGGCTTTGGGAAACGTGGCAACATATTGGTTGATCGTTTCACCTTCCTTTTGGTTACAGAGGTTGAATTTGTGCCTCTGCA